ATCTTTCCTCTTTTGAATAATGACTCCGCCAAGTTCTTGGCATGGTCCGTCAACAAATTCAGTCTGGTGATTTAAATAATAGAATCCCTGAATAGATCGACCGTGGGTTCTTCTTGAAGATAGGCTTCATAGAATACTTGAACATTGCAAAGGCTAGACACAGAGTTGGGTCCGATGTCTTGAGGGTGCAGTTGGAGGAAATGAAGCACATCACGAAAAAACTTTGAGCCGGGAGGGTTGAACCCTCGATCCAAGTGATCAGTAAAAACAATTACTTCTCCATTTTTGGGTTGAGGAAGGACTTCATCACCAGGAGCTCTCCAGGGGATATCTTCCTTTTTGGCTAAGGCACCAGTGGCGACATGATTGTTCAGATCTTGCTCGGTAACTCGGGATTTGACCCAATTGCAAGAAGTATATGTCTTAGCCATTTTTGAAAAAAGGTTATGCCGGTTTAAGTTCACATGGTTGAGCGGGCTTATGGTTAAAGGACAAATAATAATGAAGAAAACAGAGGTTTTAAGACGGAGATTGACGGCTTAAGAGGGGACTAATGGTACCCGGTGGATTACGGTTTAATAAGTTAAGCCGTCCATACAGTCATTGGTTTACAGATCTAAGAAAGGAAAAATTGCTAAGTGATGGAAAACAAGTTTCACAGATTGATGTTATAATTTTGGATCTACGGCGTGTTAGATAAATGGAAAATATCTAGACTTAAACTATGGTGCTTGCGCAGTTCATATGATCCAGATCGAGTCTTCTGTTTAACAGGAGACGCCTTGATAGTAAAAATAAGTACTATAAACATTACCGCCTAGGAAAGATACCAAGTTCATCTCAAAAAGGAGTGCTGCAACAAAGAATGAGGACGAACTTGATGAACTCCATTCAAAACCCTAATGGGTCTATGTGGAGAGGAAGAAGAAGGACTAACCGGGCTTGTTGAGCAGCGGAGGTGCGCAGAGGAGATCTGATCCGAACAGGTTGATGCAGCGGCCAATGTTGGAGCAGAGGTGAAGGTCGATGACGGCGACAGATCTCGCGTACTAGGGCGTCACGAGGAAGAAGGAAAGACGAAGAGGCACGGGAGGGGGAGAGTGAAAGAGACCCCCCGACTCTATTTATAAAGCAAATGGATAAGTGACACGCGCGGGAATCGAGGAGACCAAAGACAGATATGTGGCAGTATAGATGCCTCGATTTTCGGAGATTCATTAAAAAGGAGGAGATACATTAAATATTTTGGCTTTGTGTAAAATTAATAACAGGTGACGTCACGGAGGGTCATCAAGATTCCAGAGGATGATGTCATGGCGAGTTGTCAGTTCTCGTGAAGGTAATGAAGAAGGAATTTTTCTAAGTGTTGAATATTGATGTGAGCAAGTTCAAATCAACCTGGGGCCTAATGTTGAGGATATAGCTACTGAGTTAACCCGCCCAGGAGGGGCCGGGTTAACTCATGGCGACTCACAAGACAAAGCCCGTGAAGGAGTCGAATATGGCAGTTCATGAGGATGACTTATGGAGAACCCAAGGCCCAAGGGCGACTTAAGGCCCGTAGGTGTAAACCACCATATGAGCATAACTTATGTTGTAAGGCATATATAGTTAGTCACCGAGCCGGACACGTTGTTGATGAGCCGGCAGGGACTCTGTAAGCCACCGGGTGTCAACATGTATATAAAGGGATGACCCAGCGGCGACTTAGGACAAGAAACAAGAGATCGAAAGCTAGGTCAAGCGTATTCGCTCCCTGGTAATCAAGACATAAACAATACCACCCCAAATTGGATTAGGCTTTTACCTTCACCGTAAGGGGCCGAACCAGTATAAACTCCCTGTGTCCTTTGTCCTGCTTAACCCCTTTAAGTTAACCTAGTTGTGATGGCTCCACAACTAAGTCCTCACACCATGACATCTCCCGTGACAATCCCACGACACTTCTTCTTCAGACCGCCGACTATATCATCCGGATCATCATCGTCGCCGTCCTCCTCCTCCCCCCTCCTGATGCTACTCTCCGGCGGCCCAATGCTGCTGTTGCTGTGCGCCACCGCCGGTATGGGTGTAGGTCTGTTGCGTGGTTGTCTGGGAGTAGGACTGCTACTGCTGGTAGTTGCCGAACTGGGTGGGATCCGAGTCTTCCACCTGCCCGTCCTCATAGCCCCCTCCCCTCTCCCTCGCCTCTGTCATGGATGATATTGAGCATCTCCTTGTGTGCGTCGTACGCCGGCTCCCCCACTCTTGGCATTGCAGCAAACAGCGTGCGGGCACCCATCTGCTCTCCATCCGTCGTCCTCGCCCGGACGAGCGGCGGCGAAGAATACTCGGAAAAGAGCGGCACCGCGTTAACATTGACAATATGAGGAACCGTACCAGCAGGGGCTGCGAGCTGCTTGGCGACATAGTAGTACGGAGGCTTGTAAGGCTCCGGCCGCGTCACCGCCTGTACTGTGGGCGCGCCTCTTTGGCGGCGTCCGCCACGGCCTCGCCGACGCCTCGTCCGCCACGCCAACCACACCCATCGCCACCACCAGGCCCACCGATGGCCATATGCTTCTTCAGCTTCTCCTTCTTTGTGACATTCTCTTTGACGCGTCGATTTTGCCACGTCTCCGAGCTGATCTTCTGGGCGAGCGTGATGCTCGGATCCTCCGGCACCTCCGCCGGCTCCATCTCCCACAGGTTCTCCGACGGTTCCATGCATCGGCAGCTGAGTGAAGGAAAGCGTGGGAGAAAAGAGTGGGAATTGGATGGAGAGCGGCGGGAGTGGAGAGTGAGGGATTTTGGCGTGGAAAAAGTGTGGGATGCTACAAAAGCGCGGCCTCGGTCTTCCTTTTGGGTGGGCCAGAGCGGCGGAGAGCGACGTTTCGCATGTCCGGACTCCCGCAAACCTCCCACGTTTGTCTCCGGTTTACGGGAGCAATCGTGTCCGAACCGTCTAGCGGACTGATACAGGACCGCATTGGATGACTTTCACAGTCCGAACAGCGTGGTTCAAACAGTTGCAGAAAATTTACGGGTCTTTGTTGGAGATGCCAACGTGATATATGCATGAAGATAGTGTTGGGTAGTATAAAATGTGGTGGCCGAGTGACACGAGTAGGATCCATGCTACAACGACATTAAGGCCCAGTTTTTTTTGCTAGAATCTGGAGATTTCCCCAGAATCCGATCCCTACCCAGCTTCTCCCAGAATCTTTCAGATTTATTTGTTTTACAATCCTGTCTAATTAGACCTTAACTAGATAGGATTGTAAAATAAATGGGGCTCAAAGATTCCGGAAGAAGCTGGGTAAGGGTCGGATTGTGAGAGAATCCTCAGATTCTGGCAAAAGAACTGGACCTAAACCGGTGGCCGACGGCGGGAGCTGGGCCACATTTCCATTTATTTTCTACGGAACCCAGCGGTCATCTGAGAGCAACTTGATAAAAACTGGACCAAGCATGCATAGTCCCAGATTCCGCGTTTAGACATAGTAGTAGGCTTCCCGCTTCTTCACTCAATGACTCGTTGGGCAATCCACATACGTATAAATAACGTTATGAAATCCCAGCATTCTAAGTAATAAGACAAATGAAGCATCGTAATGACGTCTTGTCAGATGATTTTATGACTCTTGTTCTAGTGACCATTTGTTGGACGTGCTGGTTGGAAAACTGAATTATCATAATCCACCCTGACACCGAACGCAGTCTAAATCGCGTGTATACGCTTGGAATCCACAACAAGGACGTCGATGGCGACAAATGCACCTATAAAAGGTCTATCATACGCGTTCCAGGTAGTAAAATCTCAACGCAGTAGCTCGCCTAACTCAGCGCACACACCCTCTCTCTCGAAAAAAAAAAAACTCAGCGCACACGTTCCCACTGCGGGGCGCAGAACGGCTCGACCCGCGAATCGGGTGGAGAAACGGGGGTTTGGCACGGCCGCATGGGTCGGGCCGGTAAAAACCCACAGACGACGCCCACCGGTTTTTTTTCTGGCGAGCAGCACGAGAGAGAGCCCAGCCACGTAGCGGGTGCTTCCTCCGTTGTCCGTTTGCGTAACCGTTGGGAATGCTCCTTGCGGCAGTGACAGCTAGCCCCCAACCACAGGCAGAGGCAGAGGCAGAGGCAGCCCCTGGCTGTGCAGTGCCCACCGGGATTTGGCTGCCGGCCCCACCCCAAATGTCCACTCTCGATTCTTTCAGCCTCTCTTCCTTCACAAATACAATCCTAGTATATCTGGTTTTCGTATGAATGTTCTGTGGGCCGCACAAGCACACAATTAGACTCCTCTGGTTGGCTTTGAATTTGCTTGGATTTCCTACTTTCTATAGACCATTTTTAAACAAAAGCGAGTCATTAGACAGGACCAGGATTGTTAAATAGGCTAGTTCTTTCTTCTTTGTATAATGGAGGCAGGATCTTTCTTTTTTTTTTTGCGAAAATAATGGAGGCAGGATCACCGACCACACACTGAAGAGGCCGGCAAAAAGGAGGAGAATGCCGCGCGCAAGGTAGACACGGGGTTCCCAGGAAATTATTATAAACATGACACCATTTTCACTTCTTTCCTTCCCGACGGGCGATGATGATGATGATGATGGAATAAACATCTGTACAAATACACACACCAGAAGCCATGGGCAACACAACAAGAAGAGAGGAGCAGAGGTGGGGTGGGGGCCTTCCTCCTCCTGTGTGCCATCAAATCTTAGAAAAGGCTGGCCTGATCCGGTCTGTTAAGGAGGGCATTTTTGGCAACCTGCCGGGCCCCAGCCCACACACAGGCCAGGACAAAAAGTTAGTCATTCTTTGGCTCTTTCTATCACCTGGACTCACATATATACACACTACACAGGGCGAGGGGCTGGCTGGAGGGGCGTTTCGGTCATCTTGGCCTTGTCCTATGATGATTTTCGTCCATGTCCATCCATGGTGACCCACGCCGCCCCTTCCTGCCCTACCCTTCTTCTTTTCTACTCTAGTGGAAACATTCTCATGTTCTGTCAGTCTTGACACAAGAATTCCGGTCTGGGACAGGAGGAGGAGGTCGTGGAGTCCGCCGCCGACGGCTGCGATGCGAGCGGGCGGAAGATCAGCGGCGCGCCGTACTGCGGGTAGAGGAGCATGAGCACCGTGGGCGCGTGCACGTAGTTGGGGGACGTCCGGATCTGGAACCGCCGCAGGAGGACGGCCATGGTGAGCTTGGCCTCCAGGCGCGCCAGGTTCTGCCCCACGCACATCCGGGCCCCGAGCCCGAAGGGTATGAAGGCCAGCGGGTGCTTCGCCGCCCTCGCCGCCCCGCCGGCGAACCGCGCCGGGTTGAACTGCGCCGCGTCCTGGCCCCAGTGCCGCGCGTCGTGGTGGATGGCCATGATCGGGATGAGCAGCTCCATGTCGCGCGGGATCATGCACCCGTCCGACAGCCGCACGTCCGCCTTGGCGCGCCGGATCGTCGCCACCGCCGGCGGGTACAGCCGGAGCGTCTCGTTGATGATCATGCCCAGCTGTCGTGACAAAACACATGGAACATGCAGAGAGTGTGTGTCAGCGCTTGGAGAAAATGACCGAAACGCCCTTCTGCCTGCGGCGGGTTTGAAATTTCTCCTGCAGACGGGAACGAATCGGATGAGAGGACGTACCGTTTTCAGCCTGGGGAGGTGCTCCTTGGAGGGGTCATCGGAGCCGCACACGTCGAGGACCTCGCGCCGGGCGCGCTCTTGCCACTCCGGGTGCATGGCGAGCAGCACGGTGGCCCACGTCAGGAGGTTGGTCGTCGTCTGCTTCCCGGCGAAGAAGAGCGTCTTGCACTCCTCCACCATGTCATGTACCGGGATCGCCTTCGCCGCCGGCGCCCGCGTCGTCCTCTGGCTGGCATTGATCATCAGCCCGAGCAAGTCGCGGAAGCTCCCGGTGTCGGCCTTCTCGCCCTCGGCGGCTTTCATGGCGGCGGCGGCCTCCTCGCTGCGCCGGCCGATGAGCCTGGTCAGGTTCCGCCGGATACCCCTGTCCAGCTTCCACGACAGCCAGTTCTTCTTGGTCGGCATGAACCGGTAGCCTGGGACGAGCACCTTGCGGAACGCCTCGGAGGCGAAGGCCATCAGCTGGCTCTGCATGCCGAACACCACGCGGCCGTCGTTGTAGCTGCCGCCGAAGGTGGCGCGCGTGATGGCCTCCTCCGTCACCTCCTGGAACCACTCCGCCACGTCCACCTCCACCTCGCCGCTGCCGTCGGCCGCCGCCATCTCCCGCCACTTCTCCGCCAGCGCGGCCACCGACCTGCCGACATGCGGCACCAGGCGCTGCAAAAATGGAACCACGTCGCCGTCAGTCCATCCGTTCATCCAACCGTCGCACGCGCCGCCAGCGCGGCCACGAACAAAAAGAAAAACAGGGGAGCAGCACGGCGGCCGTACGTTGAGGTTGTCGGGGTAGAAGGCGTCGCCGAGGACGCGGCGGTGGAGCGCCCACTTGTCCCCGTGGAGGCTGACGAGGCCGTCCCCCTCGAGCTGGCGCACGACGGGGTGCGCCTCGTAGCGGTCGAAGGCGTCGGCGCGGGTCAGGAAGATCTCCCGGATCAGCTCCGGCTCCGCCACCGTCAGCCGCGGCGTCGGCCCGAACCATATCAAGAACGTCGGACCTGCATCGTCGCCAAAACCATTAGCGATGACCCAAAAGGACGGAAATTGCCATTCGACGCAAGAACCAGAGGGAAACAGAGGTGTCTGTGTGAGGAGGAAGAAGCGAAGTAAGTGCCATAAACCCCATATGCTCAAACGGAAGAGAGATAAGCTAGGTGAGCTGAGCTGACAACAAGAGACAAAAGCTGAGCCCTGGTCACAAACAGACGGGCAGGGAGACAGAGGGAGGAGCCAAACAGAAAATCGGACAGGGAGGCGAGGGAGCAGATCAACAAGCAGATGCAACCAAAACCGCCCAAAAAGATGAGCAATTAGGCCACTGAGAGACGCAGGCAGATGATGCTGGCTGGCTGGCTGAGATACTATTCTTGCACAACACATGCGTATACGTGTGTGCGCGCGCGCGTATGTATGCATGAGCGGCGGCGAGGAGGGAGGGAGGGAGGGACGCACCGTAGATCTTCCGCCAGTAGTGGTAGAAGGCGAGGACGCGGGGGAGCGCGTTGTGGGAGGTGGGCGGCGACATGGGCTTGGAGGAGGCCTCCACCATGAGCCCCACCATCTCCTTCACCGACCCCAGCAGGAAGCGGTACGGCGGCCCGCGGACGCCCTGCGCCGCGAAGTGCGCCTCCAGCCGACGCGGCCGCCACCAGAGCGCGTCCGCCACCCGCGCCGCCACGTGCAGCGCCAGCCACGCTGACAGCAGCACGGCCGCCGCGCGCCACGACACCCAGCCGCGCCACGCCCACGCCGCCGCCTCCATCTCGTCCCCCATTGCCGCCGTGGTCGGCTCGGCTCGGCTCCCCTGTTTCTTGTTTCTTGAAGCAGAGTAGGCAGGGCGGGGAAGACGATGATGCGTCGTTCTTCTCTCAC